CTTTGAAAAGGTGCAGTGGAGAGGGTTTCAGACCTTTCCTCTCCAGCATTAAGTTAACGGAAAGTTAAGACCGGTTAAGTATTTTCAATCTCTACACCTCGCCTCTGAGTTTCGGATGTGCACGGTAAATCAGCTAATTCAGTACATGGAGTCAGACAATTTCGCAATATCGATAGATCTTTGAGACGGCTTACTTTCATGTGTCCATTCATCAATCGTCAAGAAAGTATCTGAGGTTCGGCTACAACAGCAAAGTTTACCAATTTGTATGCCTTCCATGCGGCCTATTGTTCAGCCTTTGTTTTTATACGCCAACATTGAAATGTGGTCGTATATTGTCGTCGCCCCCGTCCGTCCATACATCCGTCCGTCCGTCCGTCCGTCGTCCACAAGCAATTGGACTAGAGGCTAAAGTTAATATCTGATTGAGTTTAAATTTATACACAGTGTTTAAGGTCATGAGGTGAAGAAGCCTATTGATTTGCAGCGATTTCCGATAATTACTGCCAGAGTTATGGCCCTTGATCACTTCAAAAAATCTTGTGGACGGTCCAGAGGCCAAAGTTCATATCCGATTGACTTTAAATTTATACACAGTGTTTAAGGTCATGAGACGAAGAAGTCTATTCATTTTCAATGATTTTCGATAATTACTGCCAAAGTTATGGCCCTTGATAACTTTGAAAAATCTTGTGACGCTCTAGAGGCTAAAGTTATCATCCGATTGACTTCAGATTGGTACACAGAGTGTAAGATCTTGATACGAACAAGTAAATTTTTATGACTTGAACAGCTAAATTCATAATATTAAAAGTTTTGTATACTAAGCGTTAGCATGGGGCAGAACTTTATAAAAACCAAACAAATTCTAATGGTTTTCTGATAATAACTTAATGAGTTGTTACTCTTAATCAGTTTTTAATGTACATGTATTATAAATGTTTCATTACAGAAAAAAGTAAAAATATGCGACAACACTTCTTGACTGCCTGGACGATTTAGCTGCTGTGGGCGTATGTTTCGTTGCCTGGCAACCTATCTTTACATGGGTAATGAATCACGTAGTGAAGAAAAGCGGTTGTCAACTGGTGTCTATCCCTCGGCGTATCTGGACGACTCTCTCCAAAAACATCACAATCCCTCGATTTTACAAACAGCAGGGGCAGATCACCCGAAAGCCAGAACTGTTCTTCAGTTGCTATGAACACTCAACTCAGTGGCGGGTTATGTTCTAGGAAGAGTGTACATGCGCCCCCTCCAATTTTTTCTGTTGTTGGATCTCCTCTTCGATTTTCTAAGAGTTCTTCCAACTGGGCTGACTATGCTCAAACAGCCTCACACAAACGTTTTTCAGAACAGACCTTCACGTTTGACCCTTGTCTGGGAGCACTTGCGAGACGAGAGCTTTTCAGGAACGTCTGCTGAAAGAATTTCCGGTGCTAAACGAAAAATCAACATCAAGAGTATATGACGCTCAGTGACACATTGTTACACAATGATGTCGACAGGAAAATATCACTCCTCCCTCTATTAAAATCAAAAGTTTGTCTAATTTTGATCCAGATTCCGCTGTTTTGTGTCCTGTCGGGGCCGTCAAGTTTTATCTGGACGCTACTAAGGTACGCTAGGCAGCATGTAGCAGGTGGTTTTTATTGTTAACAGAAGGAGGGGGCGGTGTATCGAAATCCACAGTGTCACGATGGATTACTCAAGTTTTTAAGTTCGCTTATTCTTCGGCTAATAATGAGGACTTGGTTTTTATACGCCCACATTTTCATGTGGACGTATATTGTCGTCGCCCCTGTCCGTCCGGATTGAAACATCATGGATTATGGCCTCTGTACGAAAAATCACGTTTTTAGCTTGTGGACATTATAGAGGTCACAAATATGGTATATCAAGGTTGTGGACCCTATAGAGGTCACAATTTTTATCTGATTTTGTTGGGGGGTTGGATGGCTGAATGGTTAGCGTGCGCGCGCTGTATCATAAAGTCTGTCATTGAGTCGACTGGCGTGGTTTCGAATCCCTGGTTGTACGTGACAAGGAGTAGGGTCGCCTGTCCAACCTCGTGGGTTTTCTCCGGGTCCTCCGGTTTCCTCCCACTGTTAAAGACCCCTATACGCGCAAGTGAATTATTGAAATAAAATTAAACCATATGTTAGTCCCGAAATGACCTAGTTTGTGTCGAGTGGACATTAAACCCCATTTCTCTCTCTCTCTCTCTCTCTGATTTTGTTGAAACTTGAAATGTAAGTTCATAACCAAATGATCTCGATTCCTTTCAATATTCGCGCATATCGGACGATAACTTCCTGAATTATGGCTCCTGATTGTACGAAAAATCGCGTTTTTAGCTTGTGGACCCTATAAAGGTCATAATTTTTATCCGATTTATAAAAACGTTTGAATATATCACAGTTAAACCCTAAGAATGGTTGAGTTCGAATTTTGTAAAAATCGGACCAAAACTGACAGACAAAATGGACACCCGTCGTACTCAAACAGCGTAAAAACTTGATGAAACTTGAAATGTAAGTTTATAACCCAAAGATCTCGGTTCCGTTCGATATTCGCACATATCGAACCGTAACTTCCTGAATTATGGCCCCTGATTGTATGGAAAATCGCATTTTTAGCTTGTGGTCCATCTAGAGGTCACAATTTTTATCCGATTTAAAAAAAAACGGTGTGAATACATCACTGTTACGGGTTGAGTTCGAATTCTGTAAAAATCGAACCAAAACTGACAGACAATATGGCTGCCCCTCGTACTCAAATAGCGTAAAAATATGGTATATAAATGTTGTGGACCCTCAAGAGGTCACAATTTTCTTCTGATTTTGATGAAACTTGAAATGTAAGTTTATAACCCAAAGATCTTGGTTCCTGTCGATGTTCGCGCATATCGGATTGTAACTTCCTGAATTGGAGGGTCTAGAGCACAAGTGATCTAACTACCAACCATTTTAGTTGGTTGTTAAATCACTTGTGCTCTAGACCCTCCAATTATGAACCCTGATTGTACGAAAAATCACGTTTTTAGCTTGTGGACCCTATAGAAATCATAATTTTTATACGATTTATAAAAACATTTGAATATACACCGTTACACCATAATTTTGATTGAGTTCAGATTTTAAAAAACGTTTAAATATATCACCATGCCACCATAATGAATGTTGAATTCGAATTTCGGGAAAATCGAAATGAAACTCCCCGACAAAATATCTGATCTTTGTACGCAAATTGTGTAAAAGTAGGCAATACGAAGGTTGTGGACCCTCTAGAGGTCACAATTTTAATCTGATTTTGATGAAACTTAAAACATATCTTTATATCCCAAAGATCTCAGTCCCTTTTGATATTTGCGCATTTCAGACCATAACTTTCTGGATTATTTCCCCTTATTGTACAAAAAATCCCGTTTGTTTTTAGCTTGTTCTCTATCCATCTCTTGCAAAATGTGAGCATATCCTGCCTGGCAGCCGCTGGTTATTTTTAAAGGGACAGTCTTTCAGGTAATTAAGAATATAAAGCAATGTTAATGATTCAGGTAAGTATAAGAAAAATAAAATTTACTCTTAAAAATTTTAATTTTTTCTGCTTGGGCTAAGTAGCAATAAGCAATTGGATTGGTTAAGACTTTGGAACATAACAACTCTGCTTTTAATTCGGGTATAATGTTAAAACTTGTTGTTCATTAGGTGAATGTCTTGACTGAGTTAATTGATTAACATTTTCCGCTAAACTAAGCAGAGCTAAGCAATTTCATTGATCAATGCTTTAGTACAAGATAACTTTGATTCTAACTGCTGGAGAGTGGTGAAACTTAGTGTATACATGAAGTTCCACTACCAGGTACATCAAAACCTTGACCGAGTACGATCATGAACATTTTCTGCTTAAACTAAGATCAGATAAGCAGTTTTATTGCCCGATACTTTTGGAAAAGATAGATGTTGGCTTGTTCAAATGGTTTTGGATTCCTCTCTCTTTATTTTTATTTGACTTCACATTTTCATGCCGTCGCCCCTGTCTGTCTAGAAGCACTAAACCGTTATTTTGGTTAGCATTTAAAATAGCGTCGTCCGATATTAAAGGTGCTGTGCCATACTCTCTCACGTTCATGTTTTTAAAAGTTGCACAGAACCTTTGTTTACAACCTGATTTTGATAAATTATTGTCTGAATAAGCACCAAATCACTTAATTAATCGTTTAGTGTCAACATTTGACATGATTTCAAAGTTTTACGCTTTTTAAAAAAATACAATTTTATGACCTCACATTAAAAAAAATCTAAGTCAAATAACAAAATTCTAATCTCAGCAATTGATTGCAAATAGTGAATGGTTTCCAAAAATATAAAGATTGAATATCGCATAAGAATTGTAAGATGAGATAGATTTTGAAGATTGACTTCATATATAGACGACTCCAATTGACAAGTATTTTTAAATTGTCAGAATTAAAGAAGTTGAAAATCTGACCTTGTTTCTCAAAAGGGAGATAATTTTTGTTGACATTTTTTGGTTACAAGTCAAAATCCTCAAAAATAAAAAAAGTTGCAGTCAGAATTTTCACTGTTTTTAATTTTTAGGTCATATGCATGTGTGGTAGAGACCTTGTTCTATCCCACAAAGCTGAGTTTTTGTCAAACATAAAAACCATAAGCTAAGTATTAATAAGTAGTTTGATAGTTCTATGCTATTCAAAAAGATAAATGGGTAGTAAGTAATATGCATCGTGTACATGTATTTATTGCCTCACTGTTGGCTTGTTCAAACTTGCCAAAATTGTTTTTGAAACTCAGTCATTCATCATGCATAGTTATATCATGTGAAAGAACTTATTATGAGCCCTGGTGATTAAGTCCTTTTTGAAAATGAAATGGGGTTTAACATCCTACTTTTTAGCCCACTCTGGTTCCTGTCGATCAATACTACTAAAACATATATGTTGTCCATCAATACAACTTAATAATTATAAATGTTTTCAGGGCAACTGTGATAGAATTCTCTGATACCTGGTATAAAGATGATGGTAATCTGACATATGTACTCTGTGAAGAGAGTAAGTACGTTCTATATTTTTGTATACATTCATATTTAAATATGGTCTGATACAGTGATGGGATTTCAAAATTTTAGTTGTTGGACATTTTCTTCCCGAAAATAAAGGGACATAACTCTTATCGTTATTTAAGCAGGCGTTTTCAAACCACAATTAAGAATCACGTGTCAACAAAATATTCAAATTCATACGTAATAAAAGAAATAGGTGCATCTCATTATTTTTCATATTTAATACCCTTACGGTATTCAAATTTATGTCAATAATATTCCTACAAAATTACATGACATCGTAATACCATAGAATGAAAGCGTTCCGACTACTGCCCATCCGTACCGGTTTCAAATTCCCCCCAAATTACCCTATTTTTCTGGTCATAAGTCGATACATTTTTCAGCGAAGTCCGGCATTCGTCTTATACACCGTTTCGATTTAAATACGGAAGGTAAAAAAATAAAATCCCGAAATTTATTTGGCCGTAAACCGTAGTAAACGTCGCTCTAATACAACGAGCAAGTGACACCAACTGCTAAATAATCCCATTCGACTCCAATAGTAAGTGCAGGGGGACTGCACCACACAAAATTTACACAAAAACAAATACACGGACAGGACATCATACTCAGGAAAACACAAACATAAAGACAATTCAAAAAAAGTGAATGGATCCGGAGGCTAGCCGTAAGCGCCCACTGCGCTGTACAGTCCCGGGTCTGTAGTGACACAGACTTCACTCAAATTTGAAAACAATTAGGAATACAACCCAAAGTGTAATGCCAGCATGAGTCATGATCTGTTATATGCTACACGAAATGCGAATGTAAGCATATGTAGTAAAATATAACTATACAAGTAACCACATAGGTGAAATGTATAAAAAAAAGTAGTCTAAACTCTAAATTCAATCAAGAAACGTTTAAGTATTCAATACATATAGGGTACATGTTCCATCGTCACAAAAACAAAAACAAAACTGAATACAAAGAAGCAAAAGAGAAATGTAGACTGTCTCGAGGGACAGCCGTCTGCTGACTGAGAATGACGTCATATCTTAGATGGTGATAAAAAATCACAATAATAAGGGCGATAATCCAGATAAAATAACGTTAAAAGCTTAAAAGTAGTCTAAACTCTAAATTCAATCAAGAAACGTTTAAGTATTCAATACATATAGGGTACATGTTCCATCGTCACAAAAACAAAAACAAAACTGAATACAAAGAAGCAAAAGAGAAATGTAGACTGTCTCGAGGGACAGCCGTCTGCTGACTGAGAATGACGTCATATCTTAGATGGTGATAAAAAATCACAATAATAAGGGCGATAATCCAGATAAAATAACGTTAAAAGCTTAAAAAACCATATGTCTTAGCGACTAATCGGAATTATTAAGTTATGTAATTGTACAATATATAATATATTAATAATACCCCACACAAGAAATGCAAAACAGGTATGTTGAAGAAATCGTACTATGTAAGTGTATTTATAAAGGCATAACATTAAGCACGTGCTGTCGTCTAAAACAATTACCGTAACTACTTATGTTATTCCAATCGAAATATTCGTCAACATTTCTTAGTGTGTTTATTTATTTATTTAAAAACATAAACCCCATTCAAAATATAATCTTATATCCGACATTATGCCATCAAAATAGAATCTTTTCTCCCGACATCAGACGTATTAGATTCGGCACGTTTACACCTCATAATTCCACGTGTCTTGCGAGATATCTACTTTCATTTTGCGTGTGTGTGAAATAGCTTTATTTAACTTCGGCTTCCACTGAAGAAATATCACAGACACGTTATCGGAAACAATGTATATTGATTTGGGGTGTTATATACTATTAGGATATGTGACATATATGACCCCCCCACAGCATACTGAGTCACAATGAGGAAATTTTGAAAATTGAGTTATTGTTATTTTCACATTCTCCAATTCATTACCTTCAATTTGATGTATAGTTTGTTTGAATTGGGCAAAAATTGACTGAGCTATGTCCATTAGAAGCTACCCAACTCACAAAAGTAAGTTTTGAGAAAAAGCAAGTCAAAGATTTGGTATGTTCCAAAACAAAATCCCATAGCAACCAGGCCATTTATCTGCTGTTTGTCGTTGAATATATCTTTCCATGGGTTTTCAGGGTTGCTGAAGACGAAAATCGTAGTAAAAATTTGATCCGACTATTTCCGCAATTTATTTGCTATATTTTTTCGTTTAATATGTTTTTATTTAGGATTTCAAGGGTGCTGACAACGAAAATCATAATAAATGCACTCCTTTCGTAACAAAACATCCACAACACATACGGCATAATATTCACACGATAGTGTTATACTGAAGAACAATCTATACATTAGTAGTCTGTTGTGTATAATATAACTTTAGTGAGATTAACTCAGTTAATCTCATCAATTAATTAGCACCTTAGTGCCAGCTAGTGGTCAGGAGATTAAGATTGTTGACTGGATTATCATCAAAGAAGCCGCAACAGCTGTACGCGTGTTCATTTAACACGTGCGTGTACGATAGGTCTATTATTATTTTCAGGTACCGCGACGCTATCAAAATATGAGTCCCTATAGAAATGTCAATTTCATAGTCAATGCTTACGTTCACTTTCGTGCATTTTGGCTTTGATGTAAATATCAACATTATTCAGAGGATACTCAATGGCAGACTCGAGAATCGTCGCATTTCGGCTCGTTGGTCGTTCTCATTTTTTCGTCCCATTGTGATAAGAGAATTTTAAACAATAATATCCCAAATGCATTCCTTACTTTGCATGCCGTATGAAGAAGCGGCGGTAAACGGAATTCAGCTATCAATAAAATTCTCTTCGAAAAGAACATTATTGGCCATTTTGTTTATTTCCATTTAAGGCCTATAGATTATTTTTTTAAAGATGATATGAGATATCAAACAATCACCACTTGGATTAATTATTCGGAGTAAATAATGAGTTGTCGACGGCTTTATCATTGACCCGTGACAGTTGATTAGTAATAGTATTACTCACTGACACACACCCGCTTGTCGATTAATTTACATCTTCAGTCACGTAGTTTCGATTAACACTCAACGGCAATGTATACCATCAGAATTAATTTTTTTTTCTGCCACTTATCAGAGTGAATCGCATGTAGGTACCCAAAAACATTGCCAAAACCAAATATTTATCGATAATGTCTTGCACGCAGTGTCTGGGCCTATCGGCAAAGGAGTTGTGTGGACAGCATGGCAACAGACGGAGTTTATTTATATTTTTGGAGGGGTTTAAAACTTGATTGTATCCGTTCAAAATCAATTCACTGTCAATATTTTGATCATATTTATAAACTAGAGATGCTCCGCTTTACAACAATGCCAATTGTTATGCAAAAGGAATGACCGGTCGTCCCACTGCGAGCGAAGAAAATTAACTAATTTCGCTGGGAATTTTAAGAAATAGGACAGATTTAAGAATACGGTACTCTTACAAAACGTTCAAATACAGGTGTTTTAAAATGTTTTATTGCTATTTTGATCTTCTGTGTCGATAGATAGTATATTTATAGACTCATTTTTTTGAAAATCTCAATTTCGTTCAAAATCAATATTTTCACTTATTTTGTCTTTATCTCATTATTGATTCTTGCGCATTTCGACTCATTTAGATGCGGCCGGTCACATATGACTAATGTCACCGGCCGACATCAAGGAGAATAAAACGTGAGACAATGGAGAAATCACGGGTTAATCACGTGGATTATTTTATTGGATTGATATATAGTCCGACAAAGGAGAAGCAATGACTTCTGTTCAGGATTGAATTGATGAATTGTCCGACAAAGAATTAAGTCAGCCAATCAAGGCAGATTAAGTAGTTAATCAAGGTAGGTGTATAGACGGTATAAAACAATAAATACGTTGATCACTTAATTACCTAATCAATCCAGCCTATTATCAACAATAATCGGGTTGAGTGGTAGTTATACACTCAGTACACTATATTAATTTTGGAATTTTGAATATTATTTACCATGTCTTGATGTCCGATTGGGCATATTCCTGGTTGGGCAAAATCCCATCACTGGTCTGATATCGTCATTACACCTGTTCGTCTGTCCATCTGTGGAATAGTGCTAATAGTTATCATGCGAATGACTTGAAATTTATACATGTACATTGTGCTTGTGTTCATTAGATAAAGAAGTCTATTAACAATTTCCATTAATTGTTTGAATAGTTACTTGACAACGATTTCTGATAATGTCTTGTGGATGCTCTGCCCATCTGGAAGCTAAAAGTATTACCGGATTGACTTTAAACCCCATTTCATTTATTCATTCCCTCTATTGAAATTGATACAGTGTTAATGGGAAGTAGCCTATTGCTTATCAAAAATTTATAGTCTTGATTTATAGGTAGGCCTACATTTTTAGTATAGAAACCAATCAAATTTTAACTAATCCTGATTATTACTTAATGGTTTTTTTTTTTATATGTCCACATTCATAATGTGGACGTATTATGCCGTCGCCCCTGTGTGTGTGTATGTATGTATGTCTGTGGGTTGCTTACAGGGCGCAATTCTTACTGGATTTTCTTCAAACTTTGTATACTTATTCCTTATACCCTAAGGATGATCCCTATTGTTTTTGGTGCATGCCCGAGCCCCAGGGGCAGAGCCAAGCCCATTTCTTGGTTTGTTTGTTTGTTTGTCGTCTACAGGCCGCATTTCTTAACGTATCATCTTGAAACTTTGCATACTTATTCTTTGTACCCTAAGGACCATCCCTATTATTTTGGGTGCATGCCCAACCCCCGGGGACAGAGCCACACCCATTTTCTTTTTGTGTGTCTGTGTGTCGCCTACAGGCCGCAATTCTTAAGTGATCATCTTGAAACTTTACATACTTATTCCTTATAACCTAAGGATGATCCCTATTGTTTTTGGTTAATGCCCAACCCCCAGGGGCAGAGCCACGCCCATTTCTTGTATTTGTTTGTCGTCTACAGGCCGTATTTCTTAACGTATCATCTTGAAACTTTGCATACTTATTCTTTGTACCCTAAGGAACCCCCAGGGACAGTGCCATCCCATTTTCCTTTTGTGTGTCTGTGTGTCGCCTACAGGCCACAATTCTTAATCGATCGTCTTGAAAACTTTTTTATACTTATTCCTTATACCCTAAGGCTGACCTGTATTATTTTTGGTGCATGTTTGTGTGTCTTGTGTTTTGCCTACAGGCCGCAATTTATAACATACCTATTCCTTATACCCTAAGGATGACCACTATTGTCGTATGGTATTGTCCTCGCCCCCGTCTGTCCGTCGGTCTAAAGATGCTAAAGTTAATATCCGATTGACTTTAAATTTATATACAATGTTTAAGGTCATAAGACGAAAAAGCCTATTGAATTTCAGCGATTTACGATAATTACTCCCAGAGTTATGGCCCTTGATCACTTTGAAAAATATTGTGGACGCTCTAGAGGCTGAAGTTAATATCCGATTGACTTTAAATTTATACAGTGTTTAAGGTCATGAGACAAAGAAGTCTATTCATTTTCAGTGATTTTCGATAATTACTGCCAGAGTTATGGCCTTTGATCATTCAAAAAATCTTGTGGATGCTCTAGAGGCTAAAGTTAATATCTGATTGACTTTAAATTTATACACAGTGTTTGATGTCATGAGAAGAAGACTCCTATTGATTTTCAACAATTCCCGATAATTACTGCCGAAGTTATGGCCCTTGATCACTTTGAAAAATCATGTTACGCTCTAGAGGCTAAAGTTATCATCCGATTGACTTCAGATTGATACACAGAGTTTAAGATCTTGAGAAGAACAAGTATATTGATTTTTATAAGCCCACATGGAAATGTGGTCGTATATTGCCGTCGCGCCCGTCCGTCCGTCGTCGGCAATTTCTTGTGAACACTCTACAGACTACATTTATCATCTGATTGTTTTGAAATTGATATATGTTGTTTGCATTAGTGAGATGAAGAAGCCTATTTAATTTCAATAACTTCCGTTAATTTCTTCTGGAGATATGGCCCTTGTTTCACTTTGGTGCACCTTGTGAACGCTCTAACAACAAAAGTTATCAACCGATCTGTATGAAATTTATATGCATCATTTAAATTAGTAAAACAAAGAAGCTTATTGAAATTCAGCAATTTCTGTTAATTACATCTAGAGTTATGGCCCTTGTTTCACCTTGTTGAGTCTTGTGAACGCTCTAATGACAACAGTTATCATTCGATCTGTTTGAAATTGATATGCATCATTTAAATTAGTGATACGAAGAAGCCTATTGAATTTCAGCAATTTCCATTAATAACATCTAGAGTTATGGCCCTTGTTTCACTTTGATGAATCTTGTGAATGCTCTAATGACAACAGTTATCATCCAATCTGTTTGAAATTGATATGCATCATTTAAATTAGTGAAACAAAGAAGCCTTTTGAATTTCAGCAATTTCCGTTAATTACGCCGTGAGTTATGGCCCTTGTTTCACTTAGTTGTACCTTGTGAATGCTCTAACGACAAAAGTTATTATCCGATCTGTATGAAATGTATATGCATCATTCAAATCAGTAAACCAAAGAAGCCTATTGAATTTCAGCAATTTCCGTTAATTACATCTAGAGTTATGGCCCTTGTTTCACTTTGTTGAATCTTGTGAACACTATTACGCCAAAAGTTATGATCCGATTTTTGGGAAATTTATATGCATTATTTAAATTTGTGAAACGAAGAAGCCTATCGAATTTCAGCAATTTCTGTTTATTATGTCTAAGAGTTATGGGCCTTGTTTTACTTAATTGAACCTTGTGAACACCAGAAGTTATCCCGATCTTTCTGAAATTTATATGCGGGATTGAAATTAGTGAAACGGAGAAGCCTATTGAATTTCAGCAATTTCTGTCAATTACTTTGTTCAACCTTGTTAAGGTCTGTTGAATTTCAGCAATTTCCCTCAATAATTTCTAGAGTTATGGCCCTTGTTTTACTTTGTGAACCTTGTGAACACTTGAATGACAAAAGTGATCATCCGATCTGTATGAAATTTATATGCATTATTTAAATTAGTAAAATGAAAAAGCCTGTCAAATTTCAATAATTTCTGTAGACTACTTCCAGAGTTGAGGCCCTTGTTTCAGTTTTTAGAACCTTGTGAACACTCAAACGCCAAAAATTATAATCTGATCTGTATGGAACAGTCTTGTAAAGGCCCCCAATTACCTATAAAGGAATAAATATGCGACAACCCTTGTAGACAGCTCGGACGAATTAGTTGCTGTGGGAGTATGTTTTGTTGCCTGGTAGCCTATCTTTGAACACCTGTCTCTATCCCTCAGTTTTTATCGCATTACACACAAATGAATATATGAATGCTTTTGGAATGTCTTTGAACATCTACATGTACTTTTAAGGAAAATTTACATGACAAACCACCTCTGTACATGAACCTCAGACAAAAGTAACTGTGGTGGTTGTATGGTTAATTGCTTGGCAACCTCTCTTTTACTTGAAGCTTTGGAGCACAAAAAGTCTGGTTCTAATAGAGATAGAATGTTCACGATTTGTGTAGATATTCATAAGGTCTATGCATTAATTTTAAGTTGATTTCAATGTCTACATGTATGTCTACATGTATGCCTTATTTGTATTTTAGTTTAATTATTTTATTTGTATATTTAATTTTTGTTCCATATTTTGTAAAGGACACATGAGCACTTATTCGTGGAGGACTGTGTGCTATAAAAATGTACAATAATCATAATAATAATGTTTATGTTATTTGTATATTTTTGTATTCTAGAAAATCAACAGGATGATGCTAAACTAGTTTCAGCAGAACAAGGAGAAGCAATTAAAGAAGAAAATAAAGATGAATGCTGTGCTTGTGGTCATGCTAATTATAATATTGTCTTCCAGGGTATATGGTCTAGACAAACACATCCTAAAGGTTTTCCTCCCAAAAAATGTACGTTCCAAGCCTTTTTATATGCCCACATTTTCATCTGGACGTATTTTGTTGTCGTCCGTCCGTCCACAATTTGTGTGTGGACACTCTACCGTTCACAACTTTTATCCGATTTTGATGGAACTTGAAATATAGGTCGATGTTGGCATGAATCGGACCATAACTTCATGGATTATGGCCCCTGATTGTACGAAAAATCTAGTTTTTAGCTTGTTGACACTCTTTGAGGTCACAATTTTGATCCGATTTTGATGAAACTTAAAATGCATGTTTATAACCCAAAGGTCTTGGTTCCTTTCATTATTCGTGCATATCGGATTGTAACTTCCTGAATTATGGCACCTGATGTTTGAGTTCGAATTTCGTGAAAATTGGACCAAAACTGCCGGACAAAATGGCCGCCCCTTGTATGCAAATTGTGTAAAAATATGGTATATCAAGGTAGTGGACCCTCCAGAGGTCACAATTTTTATCCGATTTTGATGAAACTTGGAATGCATGTTTATGTCCCAAAGATCTTGGTTCCTGTTGTTATTTGTGCCTATCGGATTGTACCTTCCTGAATTATGGCCCCTGATTGTACGAAAAATCACGCTTTTAGCTTGTGGTCCCTGTAGAGGTCACAATTTTTTATCCGATTTAAAAAAAACATTTTAGTATATCATCATTACACCCTAATAATGGTTGAGTTTGAATTTCGTAAAAATCGGACCAAAATGTCGGACAAAACGGCTGTCCCTTGTACGCAAATAGTGTAAACATCTGGTATATCAAAGTTGTGGACCTTCTACAGGTCAGAATTTTGATCCGATTTGAATGAAACTTGAAATGCATGTTTATAACCCAAAGATCTTGGATCCTGTAAATACTTGCACATTTCGAATTGTAACTTCCTGAATTATCGCCCTAGATTATACTAAAAATTGCCTTTTGAGCTTCTGGTCCCTATAGAGGTCACAATTTTTATCTGATTTAAAAAAAACATGTGAATACATCACGGTTATACACTAATGATGGTTGAGTTCCTGAATTATCGCCCTTGATTATACGAAAAATCGCCTTTAGAGCTTCTGGTCCCTATAGAGGACACAATTTTTATCTGATTTAAAAAAAAACCATGTGAATACATCACAGTTATACACTAATGATGGTTGAGTTCGAATTTTGTGAAAATCAGACTAAAACTGACTGACATAATGTTTTTATCATTAAGATCTTGGTTCATTTTGATAATCACACATATCTAAACGTAACTTCCTGGATTATGGCTCCGGATTGGTTGAAAAATCACATTTTTTTTCTGATTTTAAATATATTAGATATATTACCATTTCACCATAATGAAGATTGAATTCAAATTTCAGGAAAATCGAAACGAAACTGCCTGACAAAATGGCTGCTCTTTGTACGCAAATTGTGTATAAGTATGTAATAAAAAGGTTATGGACCCTCTAGAGGTCACAATTTTTATCTGATTTTGATGAAACTTAAATCATATCTTTATATTCCAAAAATCTCAGTCCCTGTTGATATTTGCTCATTTCAGACATTCAGACCATAACTTTCTGGATTATGGCCCTTGATTGTACGAAAAATCATTTTTGTTTTTAGCTTGTTCTCTATCCATCTCTTGCAAAGTGCCTGGCAGCCGCTGGTTAAATGCCACACATTAAATGTCGCCACCCCTGTCAAATTTAGTGTGAGGACAATACCCTATCGATTGCCCTCTCCACATTTCAATAAGCCTTGTTAATGTGAAGGAGGCTATAGTTTTTGTGAATGCAACAGAAGCAACAGTTTTTAATGGATTGTTTGCAAGATTGTGAATACGATAGAGATCATGCATGTATCTCTTGTTAAGACATTCATATCAAATTTGTTAAACATTCAAGTTGTCCTTTTGGATAAGTTACTGTCTCTGTCTATCCCTTTCAGAGACATCCGTATAAATTTGGTCAACATCTTAGTTCTCCTGGTCGATAAGCTGCTGTCTCTGGCTGTGTGGTCATATTTGAACATTTTGTGTAGCTATCTTTATTTCCATGATTATAGAAAATAATTTGTGATCTTTTATCATGAACTGAAGACCATATCTTGATGTCCTTTTGCGTATATTTGTTATCCGACTTTACCAATCTATGCAGACATGTCTGTCATATATGGACGAAACAGAATCGATCTTTTAGATTTTTATATGCCCACATTTTCATATTGACATATATTGTCGTCGCCCCTCTCCATTTGTGGACACTCTACAGGTCACAATTTTTATCTAATTTCAACAAATCTTAAAATATAGGTTTATATCCCATTGATCTCGGTTCCTTTCGATATTGTCATGTATCAGACCGTAACTTCATGGATTATGGCCCCTGATTGTACGAAAAATCGCTTGATATTAGCTTGTGGACCTTATAGAGGTCACAATTTTTATATGCCCACATGGAAATGTGGTCGCATATTGCCTTCACCCCCATCCGTCCGTCGGTCTGTCCGTCATGAACACTCTACAGACTACATTTATCATCTGATTGTTTTGAAATTGATATATGTTGTTTGCATTAGTGAGATAAAGAAGCCTTTTTAATTTCAAAAACTTCATTTAATTTCTCCTGGAGTTATGGCCCTTGTTTCACTTTGTTGCACCTTGTGAACGCTCTAACGACAAAAGTCATCAACCGATCTGTATGAAATTTAAATGCATCATTTAAATTAGTAAAACAAAGAATCCTATTGAAATTCAGCAATTTCCGTTTATTACATCTAGAGTTATGGCCCTTGTTTCACTTTGTTTAATCTTGGGAACACTCTAATGACAACAGTTATCATCCGATCTGTTTGAAATTGATATGCATCATTTAAATTAGTGAAACGAAGAAGCATATTGAATTTCAGCAATTTCCGTTATTTACGCCATGAGTTATGGCCCTTGTTTCACTTTGTTGTACCTTGTGAATGCTCTTACGACAAAAGTTATCATCCGATCTGTATGAAATTTATATGTGTCATTTAAATTAGTAAAAATGAACAAGCCTATTGAGTTTCAAAATATCACCGTTACACCATAATGACGGTTGAGTTCGAATCGGACCAAAACTGCCGGACAAGATGGCCGCCCCTTGAACACAAACATTGTAAATATATGGTATATATATCAAGGTTGTGGACCCGCTAGAGCTCACAATTTTGATCCGATTTTGATGAAACTTGAAATGCATGTTTATAACCCAAAGGGGTTGGTTCCTTTCGGTATTTGCGCATATCATAACTTCTTGAATTATGGCCCTTGACTGTATGAAAAATTGCATTTTTAGCTTGTGGTCCCTCTAGAGGTCACAATTATTATCTGATTTAAAAAAATGTTCGAATATATCACCGTTACGCCGTATTGTTGGTTGAGTTTGAATTTCATGAAAATCGGACCAAAACTGCCAGACAAAATGGCTGCCCCCTGTATGCAATTAGTGTAAACATCTGGTATATCAAGGTTGTGGACCCTCTAGAGGTCACAATTTTTATCTGATTTTCATGAAACTTGAAATGTATGTTTATAACCCAAAGATCTTGGTTGCTGTCGATATTTGCGTATTTCTGATTGTAACTTCCTGAATTATGGCCCCTGATTGTACAAAAAATCGTGTTTTTAGCTTGTGGCTCCTCTAGAGGTCACAATTATTATCCGATTTACAAAAACATTCGAATATATCACCTTTACACCGTAATGTTGGTTGAGTTCGAATTTCGTGAAAATCAGACAAAAACTGGCAGACAAAATGGCAGCCCCTCATACGCAAATGGTGTAAACATATGGTATTTCCAGGTTGTGGACACTCTAGAGGTCACAATTTTTATCCGATTTTGATGAAACTTGAAGTGCATGTTTATAACCCAAAGATCCTTTCGATATTTGGGCATATTGGATCGTAACTTCCTGAATTATGGCCCCTGATTGTACAAAAATCGCGTTTTTAGCTCGTGGTCCATCTAGAGGTCACAATTATTATCCGATTTAAAAAAACCTTTGAATATATCACCGTTACACCATAATGATGGTTGAGTTCGAACTTTGTGAAAATCGTACCAAAACTGTAGAACAAAGGTTCGCTCCTTTTGGATAAGTTACTGTCTCTGTCTATCCCTTCAGAGACATCCGTATCAAATTTGGTCAACATCTTAGTTCTCCTGGTGGATAAGCTGCTGTCTCTGGTTCTGTGGTCATATTTGAACATTTTGTGTAGCTATCTTTATTTCCATGATTATAGAAAATAATTTGTGATCTTGTATCATGAACTAAAGACCATATCTTAAATTCCTTTTGCGTATATTTGTTATCTGACTTGACCAATCTATGCAGACATATCTGTCATATATGGACGAAACAGAATCAATCTTTTAGATTTTTATATGCCCACATTTTCATATGGAGGTATATTGTCATCGCCCCTCTCCATTTGTGGACACTCTACAGGTCACAATTTTTATCTGATTTCAACAAATCTTAAAATATAGGTTTATCTCCCAAAGATCTTGGTTCCTTTCAATATTGTCTTGTATCAGACCGTAACTTCATGGATTATGGCCCCTGATTGTACGAAAAATCGCTTGATATTAGCTTGTGTATATTGCTGTCACCCCCTTCCGTCCGTCCGTCTATCCGTCGTGAACACTCTACAGACTACATTTATCATCTGATTGTTTTGAAATTGATTTATGTTGTTTGCATTAGTGAGATGAAAAAGCCTGTTTAATTTCAAAAACTTCTGTTAATTTCTCCTTGAGTTATTGCCCTTGTTTCACTATGTTGCACCTTGTGAACGCTCTAACAACAAAAGTTGTTATCATCCGATCTGTTTGAAATTGATATGCATCATTTAAATTAGTGAAAAGAAGAAGCATATTGAATTTCAGCAATTTCTGTTATTTACGTCGTGAGTTATGGCCCTTGTTTCACTAATGAGTTTCAGCAAATTTACGTTAATTACATCTGGAGTTATGGCCCT